TTTGGGCGTTTCGTATATTAACTCGTCGTTATGAACATCCCATTTAATTCCAAGGACTTTCACACTGCTCTCATCGATTCTATCTTCCGCCGGAATAACTCGATTGAAGTTGTTATCATTAGAAAGAAACTGCCGCAGATTCATTCCGGCGGTTTGAAATATCGTTTTTGCGTCGTGATACTTCTCGACTGCTTCTTTTTTGAAAGTCGCAGTAAAAATGATGTTGTCCACACAAATATTTTGGGAAATTTCTCTTGCCAGGTCACCTTCTGATTTCTCAAGATGGTGGAGGACTGCGCCGACAATAGAAAAGGTGAAGCGATTATCCCAAAGGGAATTCGAGTGAAGCGAAAAATTCGCAAATTTTCCTTGTCTGTGGATGTTTCGAAATTAAGCGGCCAGAGGAATCTTACCGAATCGCGATCCTCCTTATGCAATCCCACCATGTGGAAGGCTTTCTCCACATCCGCCGTAATCACTGTTGCCATCGTTCGAAATCGAAGAAGTATTCCTGCCAAATTCGGCAGTAAGACCGGTCCTCGGTACATGGCTTCGTTGAGACTTCGGTCGCTTTGTCCTGCTTTAGCGGATGCTAACAGCATCGAGGACTTTACACCGAGATTCCAGACGAACTGACGGTCGTAAGGATACACAACCTTCGCTTCTACAAACCTTACCGAACGTAAAGCACTTGTGCTCTTCATTCTCGATTGTGCTTTCATCGACGGCTTTCCATTCCACGCGACAGCCCGATTCTCCGAAAAACAAAACTATCTTGCATCTGGAAAATCTCGTACGACCCATCAACGAAAGAAGAGGGAGAAAAGAAAAGGAGACGGATGATTTTCGAGGAATGAATGAAGAAAGGAAAATTCGAAGGAGATTTTTGAAATGAGAAAGATTTTTGTAGAAGAAACGAGTCCTATGAAGACCACTGTAGACAGTTCTATGATGAATCGAAGTACAAAACTTTCATTTGGTGACTTTTTGGTTTCAAGTAACAATGCTGGTCTGAATTTGGATACGAGGCCATAGGCCTGTCCTTAATCCTATATAAACTTTGCAGTTTCATTAATTTTCTTCTTCCCTTTCATAATTCCCTTTTCTTCAACATCTTTTTTTTAAAAATTTTCCATCTTTTTTTAAAAACCTGCTTTTTAAATCTTCCTCTTTCTCCTTTCTTTTCTTTTCCTTCTCATACTCTTACTCTATCCAATCCCACCATCAGATCGTCGTTCCTTCTGCTTCTTTCTGCCTTCTATTTCCCTTCTCCTTTAAGCACTGCGGCCGTTTCATATCGACGAGGTCCTGTCACGGTGTTGGATTAAGGCGTATACGACTTAAATAAACCGAAACGTCTTATCCCATTCTTATCTCTTCCACTCATATTGTTAATTATCGCACTCTCACCAGTTCCAGGGTTAACTTGGTTGCTAGATTCTGCCTGCAAAATGGAAAAAATACAATAAGACCAGGGATACCGACAATTTACTGCATTTTCTGATGAACAGATCATAATGCAGCTTTTGTCTCATCCCTTAGCCGTAAACACAGTCGTAGGCGT